ACAACTGCTGTTACTACTACTATTACTGCAACTACTACTACTACTACTACCACAACAACTTCTGTTACTACTACTATTACTGCAACCACTACTAATACTACTACTACTGCTAAAACTATTGCAACTACTACTACTACTACTACTACTACTACTGCTAAAACTACTACAACTACAAATGCAATTACTACTACTACTACTACTACTGCTAAAACTACAACTACAACTACAACTACTACTACTACAAATGCTATTACTACTACTACTACTACTACTACTGCTATTTCAACTAGTTTCACTTGTCAAATGTTGTGGTGTAATGTGAATATGCGTTTTTTACACGAAAAAAATAACCCGTAGCTGTGGCGTCATAATGGCGTTATAAGGAGGTAGTCCAACTGTAGTAGGACAGTACTGAAGGCCCAGGTATAAAATATACGGCCCGCCACTGGAGAGACAAAACGTTTATAACAGCCTGCGACAAACAGGAGGTGTTTGGATTGAAAGATATAATAATTTCCCAGGTACACAGGGTAAAGCACAAAGATGATGTCGCGTTGCATTATGGGAAAGGTCAAACCGGTCTCCTAGCTACTAGCATGACTAGATTATTTTTACAGCTATGTTCAGGCGCTGACAGCAGTAAGTTAAGGAGAAAGATTGTGTTCTTGGTTTAACACTTCCTCCGTGGCTTGATGCATGTAACATGACTGGTAATTAACTTTAACCAGGAACATCCATCTTTTTCTACCTTTAAGTTCTTTTGTTACCTAAATCTACACATGTGTAAGTATGAGTCAAGGGTGTCCCTATGGCAGCTGTGTGGTACAAAGATGTCAAACCTTCTGCACTGGAAAAACAGCTGTCTGTCTGTCTGTCTGTCTGTCTGTCTGTCTCTCTCTCTCTCTCTCTCTCTCTCTCTCTCTATAAAAGTGCAATATTTAAACACTGGAGTACCCCTTTTGGTACAATAACTCAACTATATATCTTTATACAAGGTTCTTATGATGAAACTGTTTAGTGAAAACATACAGTAAAAATAGTACTGGGGTCACTGACTCAAAAGCAAAGAAGCAGAAACACACAAACACACGTCCCTCACATGCAATCCTCCGGATAGACCCGTCGAATATTGATCATGCTCAGGCTCCCCATGGAGTGATGTGTGTTGCGGATCGATGTCACATGCATGTTAAAATGAGTGGGGCTCTGTGAGGAGTGTCTGAGGATCATATGATAGCAGCAGCACAGCTGCTGATTGAACTGCTTCTGGAAGGTGTCACTCAGGAGGTAAAGGGCAAACGGGTAGAGGCAGGCGTTGGTGGAGGCGAGGATATGAGCGACGACGCTACACACAAATTGAACCATGGAAGTGTCCACCTGGTCGTAGAGAGGTAGGGTGGAGGGTTGGGAAAAATTAGTTTGAATGATGAAGAGACATAGAGGTGTGCATGAACAAGGGATGTAACCAAATGCAAATAGTTCCTTTGGATATGAATGTGCTCTGGAGAAACACAACCAGAATCAGAATTTGTGCAGTAACATTTGTCTAAATGAGCTAGTATGAACTGTTTTGTCAGTAGCTTTGTGATTTTTAGGAGCTAAAATATGATACATTCATATTAGTACATGGTTAAAATAGTATATTACAAATTCCAAGTTAAACTTATGTCAAACTTAAATGGCAGTGAAATAAATGGTATAGACGATGATCCAGTAGACAGAGATCAGAATAAAGACACAAATACAAACATGTTTGTGAAATAAACAGATACAGATAATAACTGTGTTACACACCGAGTGGATAGAAACACATAGAATAAACATGTGTTTTTTTTGTGCAGCCTACCTGGGAGTAGTGATAGGAGCGGTATAAGTAGATGACGTGACAGGGAAGCCAGCACACTGCAAAGAGACCAACAAACACCAGCACTGTCCTCGCTTTTTTGATTCGACCTGTTGGTGTAGAAAAAACCCTGTCAAAACCAAAGAACAATGCTGGCATATGATAGACATTAGTGTTTTAACATTTAAGTGTATTTTTGCCATAGGTGGAGGAGGTGTTTAGATCTTTTTACGTAGTCCTGCATTCAAAATTCTACTTAAGTAAAAGTATCACCAGCAAAATGTACTTTGTACTCAATGTACTCAAATGTAAAAGGGCTCAGTGTGAAGCAGAATTACCTCTTTCAGTATCAGTTTTTTATATGTTGGATTATTTGTGTGATAGAAAGAATAACGTATTGTGGTAGAGATATTGATTATGTAAGTATTAAATATGAGGTCATGAATAGCAGAACCTTGGACCACATGTGTACAGACTTATTCTATCTGGTGAGTAGAGACACACTGGGTCTACTCAGAAGATATCTCATATAAT